CAAAGCTATGGTTGCAGATGTCATCGACGAACACAGGCAAGTAAGTTCTGAAGACAACATAAGGAGGCTACAAAAGGCTAAGTGAGCAGGCAAATATCTGGTAAATGGAGTATAAAATGAGAAAATGTGAAAAATTTGGCAGGAAAAGTATCAAAATGGTAAGAGACTGCAGAGCTTTGAGGCGAAAAGAAATCAGTGTCCCAGTGCACAGAATCAGGATTAGGAAGAGGCAGCTTGACCCATTGTTTCTGTATCAGCTCTCTGAATGAACAGTGAATTAGTGCCATTCTCCTCTCTTTTCCCCATAACCTTGAATATTGTTTCTATTTTGAAAGCCCTCGAATACCTTGACAGGAGACTGCCTCCACTACACTTCCAGGAAGAACGTTCCAGACTCACAACTCGCTTGACTGTATCTTTTTCACATCACATTTGTTTCTTTTGCAAGTTCCCTTTTCTCTGTGCCCTCCAGTTCTCAAACTCGGTCTGAGAGGGAGATTTATCCCTAACTACCCCATCCAGCCCTATGATTATGAAAAATTCTATCAAACTGCCTCTTAGTTGTCTCCTCTCAAAAGAGGACAAATCCAACCTCTCCAATCTATCTTCACAGCTGAGGTTTCTCATTCCTGGAGCTAAATCTTATCAACCTCTCTACATTCCAACCAATGCATTCACATCGTTCCCAAGTTTGGTACGGCACTCTGACTCAGTGGTTAGCGCTGCTGCCTCACAGTGCCAGGGACCCGGGTTCAATTCCACCCTCGGGCAACTGTCTGTGTGGAGTTTGCACATTCTCTCCGTGTCTGCATTGGTTTCCTCCGGGTGCTCCGGTTTCCTCCCACAGTCCAAAGGTGTGCAAGTTAGGTGGATTGGCCATGGTAAATTGCCCCATAGTGTCCAGGGATGTGTAGATTAGGTGGGTTATAGGCGGATTGGTCTGGGTGGGATGCTCTGAGGGCCGGTGTGGACTTGTTGGGCCGAAGGGCCTGTTTCCACACTGTAGGGACTCTATGAAAAAGTATGGTGCCCAGAATTGCACACATTACTGAGGTCTAAGTAGAGTCTTAAACAAGATCAGCAAAACTGATTTTTTATTCATTCATGGATGTGGATGTCAATGGCTGTGCCATCATTTAATGCCAGTCCCTAGTTGCCCTTGGGAAGGTGTTAGTGCACTGCCTTCTTGAGCTGCTGCAGTCTATTTGCTGTAGGTAGTCCCACAATGCCATTGAGGTGGAGTTCCTGGATTTTGTCCCTGTAATACTGAAGAAACTGTGATATACTTCAATGTCAGGATGGTGGGTGCTTTGAATGGGAACTTATAGGTGGTGGCATTCCCATGTATCTGCTGCCTTTGCTCTTTTAGATAAAAGTGGTCATGGATGCGGAAGGTGCTGTCTAAGGAACACTGGTGAATTTCTACAGTGCATCTTGTAGATGGCACACACTGCTGCTACCGAGCATCAGTGGTGGATGCTTGTAGATATCGGTTACTTTATCTTGGATGGTATCAACCTTCTTCAATATTGTTAAGCTGTACTCATCTGGGCAGGTGGGGAGTATTCCATCACACTCTTGACTTGCAAACTGTAGATGGTGGACAGACTTAGGGGAGTCAAGAGGTGAATTACGATGCTGGATTCCTATTCTCTGAACTACTTCCGCAGCCACTATATTAAGATGGCTAACCCAGTTCAGTTTCTGATAAATAACAGCCAGAGGATGTTAATGGTGAAGGATTCAGTGATGCTAACACCACTGAATGCCAAGGAACAAATCGGTGGATTCTCTGTTGTTAAAGATCGCCATTGCTAGCATTTGTGTTGCACAAATGTTACTTGCTACTTCTCAGTCCAAGCTTGGATATTGGCCAGGTCTTGCTGCATATGGACATGAACTGCTTCAGTATTTGAAGAGTCGTAAATAGTGCTGAACATTGTGTAATTATTGGCAAACATCCCCACTTCTGACCTTATGATGGAGGGAAGGTCACTGATGAAGCAGCTGAAGAGGGTTAGGCCCAGGACACTACCCTGAGGAACTCTTGCAGAGATATCCTGGAGTTGAGATCACTGACCTCCAAACATCTTCCTTTATGCCAGGTATGACTCCGTTCTCTTGTACTCTATGCCCCTCTTAATAAAAGAGCATATAGCGTCCAGGGCTTTAACTGCTCATTCTACCTGTTCTGCCATCTTTAGTCACTTAGGCACATATACATACAACTAGTCCTGCAATTTTTTAATAGTGTATCTCCATTGTCTTTCTAGCAAAATGCATCACCTAATACTTCTCTGCATTGAACTTCATCTGCAACCTATCTGCCCACTCCATCAAGGTGTCAATGTCCTTTTGTGGATCACTGTCCCCCTCAGCATTTACAATGCTTCTAATCTTTGTTTTTATTAGCCATGAACATTGAAATTGTCTCATGTACTCCAAGATTACTGATATTTGTTAGGAAAAATAAGGACCTCCAAACCTGCCCCAGCCTGAAAAATATCCGTTAATTATTATTCATTATTTCCTATCCCTCAGCCAATTTTGCATCCATGTTGCTACTGTCCCACTTGCTCCATGAGCTATAGCCTTCCACACAAATCTGTTAGTACTGTGTTGAGCCCTTTTGGATGTCGGCATAGCCACATCAACTATATATCTCTCGTAACTCTTTTACAAATATACAACTCTACAAAAATCTACAGCAAATTAAACACAACTTTATCTTAGGAAATCTGTGCTGGTTATTCTTAAGTAATCCTTTCTCCATGTGGCTGTTAGCTCTACCCTAAATAATTGTTTCAAAATTATTTCCCGACCACTGAAGTTAAACTGATTGGTCTGTAATTGCTGGGCATAAATTGCAGAAGTTTCATACAACAAATAATTAAGAAAATAAACAACATGTTACTGTTTCTTTTAAAGTGGATTGAATTCAAAAGTAAGGTGGTTATGTTTTAGTTATACAAGGCACTGGTGAGATGACATCCAGATTAATATATGTTCAGTATTGGTCTCCTTACTTAAGGAATGATCTAAATATGTTGATAGTTTTTCAGAGAAGACTTACTAGACAAATACCTGAAGTGGGTGGGCTGTCATATGAAGGTAGGTTGGACAAGCTAGGCATTCGCCTATTGGAGTTTAGAAGAGTGAGAAGTGACTTGATTGAAACAGAAGATCCTGAGGGGGCTTGAGAAGGTAGACATGGAAAGAATGCTTTTTTCAAAATTAGGGGCCTCTTTCTTAAAACAGAGATGAGGGCCCTCTTTTCCACTCAGAGTCAAGGGTCTTTGGAACCTCTTCCTCAAAAGGTGGTCGAACCAGAGTTGTTGAATATTTTTAAAGTAGAGGTAGACAGATTCTTGATAAGCAAGGGGGTGAAAGGTTATCAGAGGAAGGCAAAAATATGAAGCAATCTGGTAGAGAGACCGAGTAGCCTATTCCTACTCCTAACGTATAGAAGCTACAACCGCTTGCTGAGTCTCTCGCAAAGTTCCTCTTGCTCAGCAAGTCCTTTTTGTTGGATGTTAATGTATTTTCTTAATGACAGCTAATAAGATCCAAATCATGTATCAAAGTTGAGGGTACCCTGCTAAGAATCAAAGGAAGCCTAACTGTCAAGAGGCTTACAATCTAATAACAACTATCATCTCAAGGACAGCAAACACCTATCCCAGTCCATGAGAATGCAAAAACCACTGCTCCCTAGTTGCTGACATTCCCCTTTAACCAAGAGTACTTTGAACCAAAGAACAGTCTAAAGTTCCATAATAAAAATCTGATAAATGAACAAATTCCAGTCTTTGAAGGTCACTTTACAGCATGTGTTCTTAATTAGCTCTTCTTGAAGAGATATTTGGTTTCAGCTCTTCAGAACTGGGTATTCTGTGTAACAACAGGAAACTCACCATTGCCTGAAGTACACACTGGAAAGCACAGAAATCCCAGGTGGGCATTTACATAAGCCAGCTTTGATCGGGCTCATTATACTGAACATTCTGAAAAGTTCACCGTGGGGAAGAATCAGAGCCATGCCTATTGCACGAGCTCTGCCTCTACCCAATGAAAGATAGCAGCAGTGCTATTTATCAACAGCAGCAATGCATTTCAAATTACACAGGTCTCATCATAGCAGAAAAGTCTTTTTGGAAAAAAAAGGAACAAAGTTCCATGATTTAACCCAGTGGGTAGACATAGTCTTAAGTGTCACATAGAAGTAAATTAATGGAAGACTAAGGTTATACAACAAGCCCTGGAAAAGCAAATACATCGAAGACTGTATATATTTTATGAAACAAAAAGGCATGCACCATCAGACACACATTTGGAAGTACTAAGCATAGATGATTAAGAATTAACTTCTCCTCTAACATTTGCTTTTTAAAACTTGTGCTTTATGGTTTAAAAGAAGTCCATTTGCTTTCAATTAAAAATGGACCACACACAGTTGGGTATACATTATTTTAAAAAGCTGCTTACATTTCAGGCATTCAGATTTTAAGGCTCAATGTACTATGAGCAACACTAGAATCTGCCAACCCTTTAGGCCTTCTTAGGAGAGAATGGCAAGAAGGAAAAGCACGTGTGACTTTTACTGTTCTAGTTGGTATGCTTCCAGTAATATGTGCGTTTTTCCACATAGCCATCAGGTGATGCCACTGAGCAATCCAGGTATTCCAGTGGTGGACATTATTGCTACAATTTGCAGCAAAAAGGAGGGGCAGTGAATGCAAGAGGTAAAACAATTAAGAACAGAGACAAGATAGATTCATATAACCATTAAACTGACATAATTATTATCTGAAGCCTAATAATCTTATTGGCCAGCAATATTTTACAGTATATACTGTAAATGCTGTTTTATTGCTTATATAAACTCTAAATTCTAACTAACTTCTTAGAATCATTTCCCACTATTTCCAAAAGCATAATTGTTCAGTTTTTTTCACTAACCAAGGTAAACACAAAACTGTCGCATCAACAGAAAAACCTACTTAAACGAAGAGGTGAGGTATCTTCGCTGGATGACCACATTTGTTCGGATAAATAACTGTCGCTCTTCAGCAAGGTTGCTGATTCCTCAGGATTATACTCTATTGTGAAGTGCTCCTGTTTCACCTTTTTCAGTGGGGTCAGCTTCAGTTTTTTCAGTGATGGCGGGGAGAAAAATTGCCCCTGAACCTTTTTCGGCACTAGTGATGCTGATGGAACCTGCCTGACAGATGGAATGGTCAGGCTAAACTTGGATGATTTACCCGGAGAGGGCGAGAAAGGTTCACTCTGCAGGGCCTGCACTGGTGCTGGCTTTGAGGGCATTTTGAGCTCAGGTGTGATAGGCGAGTCGAGAGGATGCATTTTCCTTTTCATAAGCTCCTTCAATGTGTCTATTGGCGAACCGTTAACTGTCCATTCAGTCACCCCAAACTGCCTCAGGTGTGACCTCGCGTGACTCGACAGCCCCTTGCGGTTTTCAAAGTAATCACCGCAAAATTCACAACGCGTCTCTTTGCTAGGCGCTGAATCAATTGCTGTAAATGAAACAAAGGGGAAATTGCAATGAACATTTTTTAACGGCTTCCCCATAAATTGAAAGTGAAATTCTCTGGCCCACTTTAGGTCTCCTTACGCCATAAGCTTTTCCTTGCCTGAGAAGGTTCAACCAGGACAATGCTGCTTCTAGGCATGGGGAAAAAGGCTTGAGCTACTATCATTCCTAAAGGGATACAGCTCAGCTTTCATTTGCTGCATCTTGTTTAACAAGGTTATGTAAGGATATGGGTTCACATCTACCATTATGTGTACTATTTTATTACTATAACATAGTCACCAGGCCACCAATGCCCCCACACTCCCACCAAAACCACCTTGCCTGCCTGTATAATCCCCAACTCTCATCTACAGTGATAGAAACAACCTTTTAAGTCTACTTCCTTGGAGATTTGGAACATTCTGGCAGCTCAAGTAAATGATGAATTTTCAGTACGCGAGGCTAAGCCATGTGAATTCGACTACATTCACTAGAAAGCTATTAAAATATGAGGGAACCATCACGGCAAAATCTGATCTCACCTAAAATCCAGACACGTACACTCATTTGCTGAATCAATAACCCAGAACTAGAATCCAGTTATTTCTTTCCCCTCCCTAATCCAGGAGTGCTAACATCATCTGACGTTAACTAAGCAGGCATGAAGTCTTCATATTCTGTAAAAAAGTGTAGTTATACGCCTATACAGAATGAACTGAAAAGTCCAACTTTCTTTCTCAGAGCCTCACTAGAAACTAGACAAAGAGGTAGGGAAAAGAAAGCAAAAGCTGCAAGGTATTCAACAGCTGTCAGAGTGGACTCCTATTCCAACTCCAGTTCCTGTTGAATCCCTTATCTTGACACCCCACCAAAATTACAAATGAAATCGGGAACTTGTGTGCATTGCAACTTCAGGATACAACAGCACTTTGGCACTTCAATGCAACAAAATAACTAAAATCATATGTATGAATTTCTAATCAATTCACTTCTTCACGTCCTTGCTTTGCTATGGCATGGTAATACTTTCAAATGGTTGTATGCAGAAGCCACTGCATTCCAATATCTATTTCTCATCAAAGTAAGTCTAGCACAGAAATAGTTATGACAATTCACCAGGCACATTTCTCTTGAAAAACTGAAAGCACCATAAAAGGTATCTAAACTACTGTGCTCCACTATCTACTGTAATGGATAGTGCCACCAAGTGAAAGTTTGACAAGAAAAGCATCACTCAACAGATTGCATAGTTGTTTTCTCCTATCCCTCCAAGGCACCTTTGATTTCTAAGTGTCAGTTTTGTCCAGTTGTAGCACCCTTGGCTCCAAGTCAGCTGTTTGTGGGTTCAAGCCCCACTCCGAGGCATCAGCACATAATCTAGGCCGACACTTCAGTGCAATACAGAGATGTTATATCTTCCAGAATAGACGCAAACTGCCTTTTCAGGCATATTTAACAGATTGCATTGCATCTTTTCAAAGAACTGAGAGCTTCCCAGTGTCCTGCCCAGTAGTCAAATATCACCAAAATGTGTCAATTGGTTATTCATTTCATAGCTGTATGCGGGACCTGGCTAAACCACCCACAAAGCAATGGTAATTATACTCAACAAACATAATTCAATAGCCAAGTACTTTTGAATGTCTTGAGGATATGAGAAGCACTATTTAAAATGCAGTTTGGTTCTTTCTCACCTGGTTGAAAGATGATCAATATAAACCTGAAAGCAGAACAAACCATTTGACTTATCAAATGTGGAATTTTAACCAGCCTTGCTAATCTTGGTATTTATGAATAAAGGCTTCCTCTCATTAAATTATCAGTTCACCAGCTCCTCAAATAATGCTCACTGCTTAGATCCTTAAAATTTTTTCCTCTTTCCCATTCCAGCTAATAGCTTCCCTACTTCTGCTCTCAGAAAGGATGGGGATTATGGTCTGGCACACAGACATCCCTACAAAGATGCCATTGACTCTGCCACTGGGTCATTCTGACCAGAAGCTATATTTCCTTGGATTACAAAAAGAGCATCTTGCCCACCTATCACTAATTAATATCTTACACAGATTTATAGGTGATGATGGCCAATAAGTTTCAGCAGCCAGCTCATTATTAGGTCTTGAAGCCTGAGAAATCCCAGATTCCATATGCACACTCATAGTGACTTGCTTCAGCTTCTTCTGTGGTGACACTGAAGGGGACGTTAGTGATGTTTTCTTGTTGACAGGTGTTCCTAACTTGAAATTGGTCCTTTCCGCTTTGAGGGCAGACATCTTAGGGTAGCTGTGTGCTTTCTTTATTGGCAACATGGATGACACAGCACTCTGAATCCCTTTTTTCTTAATGAATTCATTTAAAGCTTCAATCGGAGATCCTTTAGAATCCACATCCACCGCTCCAAAGTGCCTCAAGTGAGCTCGAGAATGGCTCGACAGCCCCTTCCGGGTTTCAAAGCAGGCACCACACAACCGACAGCTTATGTGTTCACTGTTTACTGCTGTGAATGAAAGAGAGAAGTCGTATTTAACACCGTTAGAACGGCACCTGCGTTATTTCATTAACCTCACATACACTTTATTAATCTTGCATCTAAGGAGCACTCTGCAGCTCTAAGTAACAGAGGAACCAAACTATACAGAACTTACATTTTATTGAGTTAAGTGATGGAAATTTAGGGCTGAAAAATAACTCTGTCTTCCAACTAGACCAGACCAGATTGGAAGGTCCCAGCTCCACTGCACAGTCGCCTGTTATTTTAACTCAGCTGGGATTTTGGTAGGCAACCATCTAGTTTGCCTCTCTAGCTGTAGATAAGGAATAAACACCAATCAGCTAGAGATTTTGTTTCTATATCTCTAGTCAGGAGCTGCCATGTGGAGACGCTTGTGCATGGGGCTGCCAGTTCACATATGAAGTCCATGTACTTCAAAAGGCTGCCAATTTGGTAGAACCCTAGTGGGCTGGCAGTTTTCCAGGGAACCCCAAACGGCATTGCCAGTGTATCCTGGACTTCCCGATTGGCAAGGGCCACCGCTCAGGGCAGAAAGGGCAGGATGAACAATTAACATATCTTACGCATCATTTGAAGTATAATATCATTGAACGCATTGAGCACATATGTATTCTTGACTGCTAAATCTAGATTACTCAGCAAGTTTGAGGGCTTAGAAGTTTGAGTAAATAAAATTAAAAGCCCTTGTACAGAAGTTGACCAACAGCAGCTTTTTCAAAGTATATAACAATAAATTTTAAACAATGCAAAGTCATATCTTTTGAAGGACGAGGTGGAAATTTAGCAAAGGCAGCAAATAAGAAAGACTAACACCAGCACTGACATAATTGTCCATGATTATTATTTTAAGTGAGTAGGCAATTACGAAGCAGTAGCACAGAGCAAACTCTACATCTCTGAAGGAATGCAGATCCAAGTGCCACATGCAGGTCACCCCTTTACCCTTTATTTCCACCCTTCCTCCCAAAACTAAAAGGCAGCAGTGAATGAGGCAATGGAACTCTCACAAAAAAGCAGTCAAAGCTTGAAATACAGGCAACCATCACCATTACAAAATAAAAGCTCATCAACATACATGGAAACATAAAGCATTGTAGACAAAAGAGGTTCTGCAGTGCAATCATGCAAACAGCAGTGCAGACAAAAAAACAAAAAGCCAAGCCAGTGCCAGAGCAAATGCAAACAGCCAGAACTCGTAAAAGCAGCTCCAATCAGAAAATATAGTTTAAAAACTAAATAAATTGATGCTGTCCTCAAATTTGTGCATGTTTCATATCACAAAATATTTGAGGATTTTCTGACGGAATGCAACATTACAATGATCAGCACATGAAGTTGGCAGGTCCACATAGCAGGTTCTCATCAACTTCAATACTAAATATCTGATGCAAAAGCTGGCATTCAAATTTAGCCAACATTAAAGGTGGACTTTAAATTTCCACAATCACGTCTATCCTTATGTTATTTCTGCCCAATATTGAAGAGAAACAAGGATCTGTTGAAATAAAAAAAATCCCTCAATAAGCTAAATAGAACTACAATGTTGTGGGTAACTCAGGGACAGGAGGGTTGTTGGAAATTCCGGGATTTAGATGCTTTAAAAGAAATAGGGAGGATGGAAAAAGAGGCGGGGGAGTGGCATTGCTAGTCAGGGCTAGTATAGCAGCTACTGAAAGGCAGTTCGAGAATGATACGTCGACATAGTCAGTTTGGGTTGAGGTCCGGACCAAGAAAGGAGCAGTCACTTTGTTAGGGTTTTTTTTTTTTTTAAACAGACCCCCTAATAGTTGCAGAAAAGTAGAGGAGTGGATTGGGAGGCAGATACTGGGAAGGTGCAGAAGTCACAGGGTGTAAGTCATGGGTGACTTCAACTTTCCAAATATTGATTGGAAACATTGTAGTTGTAATAATTTAGATGGAGAAGATTTTGTCCAGTGCGTTCAGAAAAGATTCCTGACACAGTATGTAGATAGACCAACATGAAAAGAGGCCACTTTGGATTTGGTGCTTGGCAATGAACTGGGCCAAGTGTTAGACCTGTTGGTAGGAGTGCATTTTGGTGGTAGCGATCATAATTCTGTTACTTTTACAATAGTCATGGAAAAGGTATATACAGCAGGGTAAGATTTATAATTGGGGGAAGCGTAATTACAATTCTGTTAGGCAAGAACTGGGTAACATAAAATGGGAACAGATGCTGTTAGGGAAGAGCACTATTGAAATGTGGAGATTGTTTAAGGAATGCATACTGCGTTTGTCCCTAGCAGGCAGGGAAGACGCGGTCGAGTGAGGGTGCCTTGGTTCTCAAGAGAGGTCTAACGACTGGTTAAGAGGAAGAAGGATGCTTATGTAAGGTTTAGGAAACAAGGAACGGAAAAGGCTCTAGAGGGATACAAGTTATCCAGGAAGGAGCTGAAGAAAGGGCTTAGGAGAACTATAAGGGGGCATGAGAAACCTTGGCAAATAGGATCAAGGAAAACTCCAAGGCTTTTTGCACGTACGTGAGGAATAAGAGAATGACCAGAGAAAGGGTAGGGCCAATCAAGGATTGTAAAAAGGGAATTTGTGCACGCAGCCTAAAGAGATAGGAGAGGTTCTTAATGAATACTTTTCTTCGGTATTCACAACTGAGAGGGACCTAGTTGTAGGGGAGGACAGTGTAAAACAGGCTGGTAGGCTAGAGGAGGTGGATGTTAGTAAGGAAGATGTACTAGGAATTTTGAGGAACTTGGAACATGGATAAGTCCCCCGGGCCTGATGGGATTTATCCAAGGATTCTATAGGAAGCGAGGGAAGAGATCGCAGGGCCTTTGGTGATGATCTTTTTGTCCTCACTGTCCACGGGTATAGTGCCAGAAGATTGGAGAATGGCAAACGTCATTCCCTTGTTCAAAAAAGGGAATAGGGATAACCCTGGAAATTACAGGCCAGTTAGTCTTACTTCAGTGGTGGGCAAATTATTGGAAAGGGCTCTGAGAGATACGATTTATGATCACTTGGATCGGCACAATTTGATTCGTGATAGTCAGCATGGATTTGTGAGGGGTAGATCATGCCTCACAAACCTTATTGAATTCTTTGAAGAGGTGAGGTGACCAAACACGTGGATGAAGGTAGAGCAGTGGACGTGGTATACATGGATTTAAGTAAGGCTTTTGATAAGGTTCCCCATGGTAGGCTCGTGCAGAAAGTAAGGAGGCATGGGATAGGGGGAAATGTGGCAGATTGGATTCAGAATTGGCTGACCCTTAGAAGACAAAGGGTGGTAGTGGACGGAAAATATCCAACATGGTGCTCAGTTACAAGTGGTGTACCACAAGGATCTGTTCTGGGTCCTCTTCTATTTGTGATTTTTGTGAATGATTTGGATATAGGAGTGGAAGGGTGGATTAGTAAGAGAGGCGGGGTGGGGTGGGCGGATTTGCTGTCAGGAAAGCAGGTCCTGCCCACCACATTCAAGACCGCTATATTCACAAAAAGCCATGCCTCAACTCTGCAGCAACTTTGGAACATCTGCATAATACTGATAAAATCTACAAGGTAAAGAAAATTAACAACAAAGTCAATGAACATTCTAGTAACTTAGTACAAGTAAACGAAGCATACAAGCTTAAATGATAGGTTTTTAAAAATACAGCCCGCTTACCTTGGTGTACTGATCTTATGAACTAAGACTGTACTTTATATACCATGTGGTATCATCATGCATTTAAGTAATTTCTGAGTCATAACTGCCTTCAAGACTTCATTCAAAAACCACAAGATCCTTTCTTAATACATGACAAATCATTCCTCAAGTTAATTCCAGGACGCTCAATCAGAGAACAGTACAATGACCAAGGACCCCTAACACCCACAGAAAGAGAAAAATGCATTCTCAGCTATTCCCAGATGGATTTAAGTACTTGAAGTTTGGGATCAAAAAGGCTATCTAGTTAAATCCAATGAAAAATGCATGGAAACAGTGTTTGCATAAAGCAAAGGGTAAGATCTCAAATGTACCTTGGAAAACAAAATCAAATTTTATTATTATTTATAAAATGTTTATAGCTATGCGTTGGGGAATGTTTTTATTTATTTGAAAAACCCACGGACTTTCTCAAGTGACAATCCATTTTAATTATTCTATCATACCACTAAAAAGGGCCATTTATGGAACTGGTACACATTCCTGACAAAATCTACCATTATGACCATCATATTAAATCAGAAGTTCACCATTCTATGCCACCCCCTTCAGCACCACTTGGTAGACAGACTAAAATGTATGGTGGTTGTATAGCATTGGCTGACGCAGTGAACTGTTGTAATTATAATTTTGCAGATTATTTGTGCGCTTATAGTACACACTGGATTTTAAGTTATTTACCGTAGCACAAACACTGTCAAGATGGAACAAACAGGCCAGGAATCTACAGGAGGCTTTGGATAAAATGGGCAGCAATTGAGAAAGAAAACGGATGTTGCAAGGATACCTGATATAGTTAATAGTAATAGTTAAAAATGAAGCAGAAAAGGATCTGGGTCTGAAGACCAATTTTGCAAACCCTACACTGCCCTCTAAAGCAGACATTACAGTCATCAATTAAATTAAAAAATAAAACTTAATACAATAGCTAATGCAGGTGAACACAAATGAATGTGTTGCTAAAATTTTGCAATCTGTGGGCCTGACTACCATTTCAGACTTTGGCTAAGATTTGGTTACCAAAACATTCAAGGCATAGAGATGGTTCAGTGAAGAGTCCCAAGCTAGGTTCACAACATGATTCAGGTGCACAGCAACACTCATGTGAAATGGAGGCAACTGAAAGGGAAACTTATGGAGCTATACAAAGATATTCAAAAAGCTAGATAAAGAGAAATCTAGATAATTACTTAAAGCCTGCCAGAGTAAAGGGTGTCAATTAAAATCAGGGCCGATGTCAAGACAGAGTGCAAACACTTGGAACAGCAATCTAGAGAAACGGAGATTCAAACTTTAT